GCGGCCGGGGGTGTTGCCGGGGGGGACGGGAGCAGCAGCAGCAGCGTGCTGTAAAGGGTGGCACCGCGCCAGCTGGTGTGCTGGTGTGGCTTAAGGAGGTGAAATGGAGGCACACCCCGCTCTCCTCCGCCTGGAACCGCAGGTGTGTGGCAGTGACCTGTCTCTCCAGGTGGGTGTAAAGGGTGGCACCGCGCCAGCTGGTGTGCTGGTGTGGCTTAAGGAGGTGAAATGGAGGCACACCCCGCTCTCCTCCGCCTGGAACCGCAGGTGTGTGGCAGTGACCTGTCTCTCCAGGTGGGTGCTGCCAGTAAGCCACTGGGCAGCAGCCAGGCTGCCACGCTGCCAGCAGGAGAGGGCATGAAGCCTTAAAAGAAGGAAGATCCACGGCTTCGTGGTGAACAAAGGAACTCGTCCCGACAGACCTAAGACTTATGTTTGGGCTTTTAGTTTTAGGTTACTTTGATTCTAAGCTTCTACATACAGTTTGGTTTTTTACTTTTCCAATTCTATATTTAAGTGTCTTTCATAGCCTACGGTATCAACAACATAATTTTGCTGTTGTTTTATTGCTGTTGAATGTATGCAAGGGATGAGAAGAATGCTTTGCATGTAGCGTGGCCAAGACAGAAGTTATTGCAGAAATTTGATGCCATTTTAACTCGTGTTCAGCTAGGCAGTGCTGCTAAAAACAGTCTTTCTCATTTACCTTGACAATTAAACTCTCAGGAAAAAGATGAGCTGGAAGTAAACCTAGTCAGGGAAATTTATCTGTGTGCCTCTGTGGAGAATGTACTACATATTTACCTTCAGCCTTAAGCATTTCCTCCACTTGAATGAAGCTCTAGGCTTGCCTTACTCCATTGGATTCAGGAAGTGTTCTGCTGCTTGTTTGTTGGATCAATTTATAGGACACTCGTTGAGTTTGTTTTATGATTTCATGCAGTATTTTGTTCATATGTTGTTTTGATTTCTCTACAGGCAGACAAATTGCTGAATGCACTGAAGGAACACTTTCATGGAACAAAGCAAGAAAATATGGTAATAATGATAAATGAGATGTTCTTTCAAATGAAAGACAACTAGATCTAACTTTAGTTCCAGATACTAGTCAGTACCAAATATAAAAAATATTTTATTCTTTTTGAATACCTAGGTAAAAGGGACTAGATATTCACCAGAAAGCATTTTGCATCTACTACAGTGTACTTAAATGATAACAGTTGTGGTGTTTCCTTTATCAATCTCTTGATGTATTGGGTTTTAGCATTTTTATAAAGTTTTCTCTTGCAAGCTGAATTATTTTGTTGAGTCTGGCAGTGTTTTTATGTTTTTGATAGAAACTAAACTGGGATCTGCTTTTTCTAAAATGTGTCTATCTTTAAATGCTTTCTTTGAAATAATCTTTAAAGGTTTGAGGAACTGGTGTAATCTTTGTCAGTTAATTTTTAATTTTAAGAAGCATGGAAGAGTCTCTGATTTTTATTGATAAAGAGAGTTCCACAGAAATGTACAAATCTGGGAGGGTCACAGCATTATGCAAGGTAGATTTAAAATATAAAGTATTAGTTTTCTATAATCATATTGAAATGCTGTGTAATAAAACAACTGTAGGACTACTTTTTAAAGTGTTTCAACACTGTGCTTTAGTGTTTAGGTAAATATAGATATTACCCATTTTTTTCCATTACTGTGCTAATTGTGCTACTCTTTTTCCTCTGTGTGAAATAATTTTTCCAATAATAAAATCAAAGCAGTCTCTGGAGTATCTGACGTATGTCCCACATTATACTACTTTTCTGCTGCAGGACACTGAAAAAAGTGCATCTGCTTCCATTGAATTCGATGAAGTGAACGATCAAGAGGAAATGATGTCTGATTCCACGTGTTTTATTACAAAAAGACGTGGTAAAGAAAAGAAAATAACCAGAAAAAAGAGGAACTCCAATGAGGAAACTAATACTGGTGAAGAAAATACAGGGCTCTCCAATGACAAAGAGGTGATTTGCATTGCTTGTTTCTGTGTGCTGGCTGCCCCTCTTTCCTCCAAGCATAATTTAAATGTGCTTGATTTGTTCTACTACCATTTAACAAGTGGTAAACATTCTCTGTGTGTGTGTATAAGAATTACGTGTGCAAAACTCTGGTGCAGTCTTCTGTACATTGTAGCACTAATTATGTCTATCTTCATGATATGCTATTCTACAATTAACAGAGATTACTTGTTAGCCTTTACTTCATGGAAATAAATTTCTCTTAAGAAACAGACAATTCCAAACCCTTTATCTGAATGTGAGGCTGCTTTCTCTAGTTCATCACAGTATTCTGAATATTAAAGTAGTTGCAGAATTTATCTAAAGTAAGGCTGCTTTTACTCTCCTTATATAAAAAAGAATTAACAGACATTTGTTGATTGCCTAAACCTCACGGAATTTTAATTCTCAGTGCGTTCTTTATTCATGGGTTTTATGACTGAGGAAGGGGGAGTATAAGGTGAGATGTGGGTAGAATTGGTTTTTTCTCTAGAATTACATGCAAGTAGTGGGTGATGTGTGTGGAAGAATTTTACTGCTTTAGAGTTAGAGGAGGGAAATGAAAAGATAAGGAGTGTTAAAGAATTGCACAGTAACCAAAACTACGGTAGGAAAAAGTAACATAGCCAGTGAATTTATTTTTCCTTGCAAATAATTAAGTTTTGTCAGTAAAGGCAGTTTTATACTAAAAAGTTAGAGCTGTGCAGGTAAAAGCTTTCTAATACAGATTTACTGGTGAAGTAACAGGGTAGTTCACATGTTAATTCAGGCTGGACTTGAGAAAATCTTTTGCACAGCACAGCCACCTACAAGGTTAGATGACAATGGTTAATGCCTTATTTAATCTGATACAAAAAGCCTCTAAGGATGGAGGAGCCTAGGCAACCTGTTCCACTGACTGACCGTTCTCAGGACAACAGCCTTTCTTTATATCCAGTTGGAACAAACTGTTTAAATGCAGTATGTTTGAACCACAGGAGCATTCCGAAATGAAAGAAAACAAGGTGCCTCGAGGTCAGCAGCAAAAGGGACAGCAGCTATTCCAAAATGAGGAACAAGTATCTAAAATGAAAGATATTGAGAATCCAGCTATAAGTCGGAAAGAACAACTAGAGAAGACTTCTATTAAAAGTAGTGGAGATGAATGTAAGTAGAAAATTCAAAAAAAGTAAGTTTAGTAGCTTGTACTACTTAAAATGCACCTTGAGTTGTATTATGGATATTCTTCCTGTTCAGTAGTATTTACAAGGACATTCTTATTGGAGGCCATCTATAATTCTGAAACTAATTTAGAAAATAAAAAAAAATAGATTTTCAGTGTCTGCATTTAGTGTTGAAAATTTGATTTTTCAACAATTATTTTCAACACCTCCCTTTTATTTGCTTCCAGTGAAGGTTTCTGTCAGTGCTTTGAGGTTACCCAAGTTTACTTTAAATGGAATGTAAATTAATAAAAAAGCAACTATTTGTTTTCAATATACAAATATTGAACTCGATGTGAAGTTAACTGATTTTTTTTTTTCTGAATGTTAACATTTAGTCTAACAATTTTGTCCAATCTTGTTGTACCAGGTGATGCTCGTCAGGCAAGAGGGAAGATCCCTTTATATGTGGGCCGTGTGTCTAGGTCTGGGAAAAGAGGAACAAAAGTTACTACACCAAGTAAGATAACTAACTTACCATCTTTAGAAACAGATGTTTTGTCTGTGTGTGGAAACTTGACTTACAGCTTTTTTCAACACAAACTTCTATTTCTCTTTGAAGAAGAGAACATCCTGTCTTTTTTAAAAGGAAGCAAACAAAGGTTCCTAAAGGTTACATTTTCAAGTATATTTTCTGACTTGTACATCCATAGTAGTAAATGCCTCACATGTATGTTACAAAACTGATATGTTTAACACTGTCTTTTGGGTATAACACTGGCATTTGTGATTTTTCAAAACAACGAAGAGCAAGGAAGACATGCTTTTGCTCCTGCTTCTTTTGTTTTCACTTTATAAATGCTACTGTTGTAATGTATTAGGTCATGTATTAGGTCATTTTCATCACTGTGAAATACTTTTGTTTAAAATTTGGAAGTATTCTTTTCTAACTGCAGAATTTAGGGTTTTGGACTAGATGATCTTTAAAGGTACCTTCCAACCCAAACCATTCAATGATGTGTATATACAATAGTCTTACTTAGAGGGATATATTCTATTTTCTTTGAGGCCATAAGGATAGGTGCTGCAAGATTCTTCTGTTAAGTAGTAAACTTAGTCACATATCCGATAAGCTCCTCTTATTTTTGGAACTTCTTAGACTTTAAAAAGTTGCATGAGGCTCACTTCAAGAAAATGGAATCTATTGCTGACTACATTGAAAGGAAAAAACAAGTGATTGAAAACTGGAACAGTTCTCTCTCTGAAGTCAAGGTAAGTGATAACACATGAGAGATCCATTGTTCCCATCCATATTAATTTATTTCCAGAGCCTCTGTACAAGCCCTGTAGAGGCTCTTCAGAGCAGTAGGTAGCTGGTTGTGTGTATGTGCAGTTGAATGATATGATCAGTGAAACTTAACTATAGTCCTACATATAGTCCTACTCCTGGAGCTTTTGTTTATGACTGTTTGAATTGCTGCAGAACTTAACCAAGGGGATGGGTTATTTTTCAAAGAGAGGGAATTAAATAACAAGTTCCTTTTTTGTGCCTTAAAGAACCATTGTCCAATGATTGTATATGACTCTCCTCTAAAATATATGCAATATACGTTGTTTTCAGTGGCCCTGATTCTCAGTTCTTGTATTTCATGCTTATGTGGGTGAAAGCTTCTAATCAGGTTGCTTTCAGAGTGCAGCAGATCTTGGGAAAATAACAGTAATGTGTCAAGGGATATATATATATATAAACATAAGAAAAACACTAACACTGAAAACCCTGAAAACTATGTTTCTCTTTTCTCTGGCATACAGTGTATACTTAAGACTAATTACTTTTGACAGGTGCTCTCCAAAAAATCGAATCTTGTAAGAGCATCAGAAAAAGGCACTCCACATAACAATTCTAAGGTGTGTGTTTTCACATCAGTTTAATAATAATGAAACTACTTTAAAAACTTGCTTTAAAAACTTGCTTTAAAACTTGCTTTGAAAGAAAGAAAGGGAAAAACTTGAAGAGACTGTATGATTCTAATTCACTGTGTATTGCCCCTTCCTTTTAGCTGCTTTTCTGATAATTTTTTATCAGTGTGCTAACTCATTTTTTGCTTTTCCCTAGAAACAAGCCAGAAGTAAAACATGTTTATTCAGCCCAAATCCAGAAAGAGGCAGATTCTCTGCCACCTGCACTCCGAGTAACCTCCGGCGCTCCCCACGCAGCTCTCTGAACACTGCCAGTCGGAGTATTTTATCTAGGAAATCTTCATTTAATCCTTCTGTCCTTTCAACAGCCAAAATGAACGTCAGGTAAAAAAAGCAAAGCAAAACTACCAGGGAGCAATTTGGTGCAGTAGACATGAAATAATCAACACTGACTGTGATTTGACACTCTTCTGAAGGTGAAATCCAGGAGAGTAATCCTGGTTACTAGCTTTCAGCCTAACTTCTTGGCTGGTTTAACCCTTGTAGTGCTGTTGCAGTCTTGATTATTCATTTTGCTATCTAATAGTAGAGAAATCTTGCTGCTCCCTTAGCTTTCACTTTGCTAAACCAACCATGCCAAATTATTTTTCTTCTCTTACTCCATTAGCTGTTCCATTTTTGTCAGGCAAACTAGTAGTCTCTGTTCTACCTGAATTAATTTGTCTATGAGACTGCTTAACCAGAACTGTATTCAGGATTCCAAGTGAGTCTCACAGTGGACTCCTCATTTGGGATTTTCTGGCACTCTCCTTTTCTACACCTCTCATTCTCCCCCCACCATGTTGCAGCAAGGGCTCGTCTTGTGACAGACTATTGTAAGCAGGTTTTTTCTAGCAGAAGGGACCAAGTTGACACCACAAAGTTGTGATGAGTTGCTGAATGAATGAGCTCATACTCAGTGCTATTAAATTTCACCTAATTTCTTTTCAAAACAACATGTGTACTTATTTATTTCTACACAGTAATATAGTTCTCTATTGTGTTAGTATTTCCTGAACTTTTGTTTTTGGTAAATTCTACTAGCTTATTACAAATTCTTCTGAAGTCTTGAGCAAAAAAACCTTTTAAAAGAAGGAATCAAAAGGACAATCCATATGGTACTCCATTGATAAATGTCCTTTTCCCTAGTTTTATTTTCAGTGAAAATTATTGTCTACTATTTCTTTGTTGGTTTAGAAGTACTATACTAATGCCAACTTGATTGAGCTTACTAAACTTCCCATAGTGATTGAAGTTCAGATTTAGACACACTGTCATTTACCCCTACCATTCTCCCACTGCTACAATACCTGATTTGGGGTCTCAGTTGTGTGACTATTTTTCTGAAAACCTTCACTTCTCAACTTTTGCATGCCAAGATGATATCTGGCTGGGACTTTTGCCCCTGAATAGTGTGTGTGGCATTAAGTCAGATAGTGTGACTTCCAATATTGACATCTTCTAATAAACACTTACGGGATGTATGAATGCGCTTCTTTTGCAAAGGTCAAGGTTACAGGTTCCTCATAAAATCAAGTACATAAACTTACTAGCTTTGTTTCTACTTTGAATGTACCACCTTTGATTTTAAATATATCATAACAAATGACAACAATATTCGTTCCTACTCTGGTGTCCTGCTGGATGATCTTTGTCTTCACTGCAGCCCAACTTGATTCTTAGCAATATTTAAACCAAAACAGCACTTTTAAAGTTTGTTTCCATTTAATTGGCTCAAAGATGTTCTGAGGTGGATCTTGCAAGCTGCACTTCATCCATTAAATTCCCAGCCCTCGAAACAGCTTTCTTCAACATTTACTCTCTTTCTATGTTTTATAGGCTTTCAGCTTAATCTCAGTACTTTTTTGGTAAGGCTATTACTTCATGCAAGGTTTTGAGTTTTATACGTATGTGTACACACAGATACATATTAAAAATGTGTATATACACACATGTATACAGCACATATGTGTGTCTTGGTATGCAAGGATCTTAGTATTTTTCACTGAAGTTTCCAGCTTCTCCCTCTTTGAGTTCCAGAGTTCTGTTACTTAGTTTGTTTTCTTTTATTTTAAAATTAACAATATTTCTATTCCTGCCTTTGTACACAGTAGAACTTTCTACCTATAAGAAAGGTAGAATGTGGAACCTTCTGTATTCTGTCACATTGCTTACATTCCTTGTAGATTACTTTATCTTCATATTTCTAATAATTTTCAGGTTCTCAGAAGCTACAAAAGATAACGAGCATAAACGTTCTCTTACCAAGACTCCATCTAGAATGTCTCCGTACTTGCAGATTGACACACCTGAGAGCTCAAAGAGCTGCAAACTAATAAACCAGAAAAACAGCAAGGGAAACGAAGGAAATAATGATCCAAGTGTGTCAAAAGGTAAAATGGATGGTAGATATTTGGCTCTTTCAGGTCAATACTTATGTCTTATTGTATTCATTTTTTATAACCTAATGTCATGTAGACCGAGGTTTTAATTTTCTAATTTTTTACTGATTCTTTATAAACTTTAGTAGTTCTGTTTCGTTTGGCTTCCAGTGTTTTCACTAAAATGGTTAGGTGCTAAGACTTAAATATATGACACCTGGCTACCTATAGAAAAGCCTAATATAGGATGTAGGAAATAGAAATAGTTCTTAGACCCTTAGGGACTAGATAGCAAAAGATTCAAGTAATCGGTACAGGGAGATCTTGTCTGTGGTGACAGGAGTTCCTGATGCCTTCTCAGAGGTCTTGTTCTCCTTGTGGGATTGGCAGGCATTAGGCCTCTGGCTGTGTTTTAGGACAACCTTTGTTATTATCAGCCTCAGCAACCCTGATGAACATGGAAAATAAAGGTCTATAATAAAAAGCAGAACTCTTGGTTACTAATGTTCTCTGCACCAGCACAGCTCTACTATCTAACCACTGATGTCCTGGCATCGCAGGTATGTTAGCACCAGTCAAGGGACCTGTTAGGTTAGGGAGAAAGAAAAGTTCCACTCCTGATCTGGAGCTTGTGTGTTCTGGAAAGATGTTTATTTTCTTACATGAGAATCCACTTGGCTCAAAATAAGCATAGAGGCTAGAAAACACAATTTGCTCTGAAGGTCTAGAACCATGCATGGAGGTCTATATGCCATTCTATAGCATAATCAGAGGGGAAGGGCTAATATTCTATAGCTCTTGTGCTCTCCAGATCTGAAATCTCCCTATTTCAAAGTGAGGTGCATTTGTGCAATTCTGTCTTTAAGGGGTAGCAAACAGTAGCACTTACTTACTTGATAATTGTAAGGTGGTCTTCACTGGCACTTTCCAACTTGCTACATACAGTGAAGTTTTTGCTACTATAATGACAATATGTTGATGCCTTTTGTAGTTATCACCCCGTTCAAGTTTGCAGCTCACTCTGCAGAACCCACAAGCACAAAGAAGACATTTGATCTCAAAGCAAGTCTCTCCAGGCCACTTCCATACCAGCCACATAAAGGTACTGTCATCCTGTGTAGTTTGTGTTGGTTGTGCCCCTTATAGTCAACTGCTCATAAAGGTGTTGTTAAATAACAAGATGCAGCAAAGTTTTCAGTCTCTTTACCTGTCCCCTTCCCTTCCTCTCTGGATTCTCAGTCTGTGGACTGATGTTTAATGTCCATGTAATATATGCTTTAAGAGCCTCCCTACTGAAGAATAAGTCTGTATGACCAAACGTCCATAAATACAAGAATAAACATGTTTGTACTCTGCTGAGTAGGTCTATGCACAGGAAATGAGAAATACTCTTTTAAAAATGAGGTTTTTTTTAAAAAATGCACTTTTGTGGGAGAAGCTGAACTTTGTGTGTTGAGTGTTACTTGTGAGTAACCTGTTACAACTTACAGAAAAATTATTTGTAAGGAATGGGCTGGAGAAACTGATACTACAACTGAAGAGGTATTTCATCTTAAACTCAACCAGCAAAAAATAAGCTAGCTAGTATAAAATAAACAGTGAGGGAGAAGTTAAGCACACAACTACTAAATTAGTAATTCAGTTGTCTCTCTTTTTGCCCATAAATGGTAGGAAGACTAAAACCTTGGGGAGAATTTAAAGAAAATGCCGTCCTTAAGAAGTCTGTCAGTAGCAACATCTCTTCACGTAAGAAAGATTATAAACAGCCGCATCTCCAGACAAGGTTAGTGCACCACTCACTTTTTATGAATAGTGTTATTTAAATACTAGGACTCGTTTTTCCTTTTAGGGTTGAAATATGGATTTCAGGAAAGAAGATTTTTTTATATTTAAAATTATTCTTGTCTAAATTACTGTCTAGACTCTCACCTCGGAAGGAGCTGTGAATATTGATGTATCGTTACCTTGAATGTTAGACCCATATGTCTAAGCAGAAGTATTTGCCTGAATGTTTGGATTCAGTCCAACATTGAATTGTTTTCTCCGCCCATCGCAAATGTTGCACATTGGTTAAACGGATGTTAGGCCTTGGTCAGCTTCAGATTCTTTTCCTTGTGCATTCACCTTTAATATAACTTGACATGGTCTCTCTTTTGTTTTTCCCCTTCAGGGAAGAAAGACGTGAGAAACATGAGCAAGAGAGGAAAATCAAAAAGGCTCAGGCTCTCAGAAACCGTAGAGGACTATCTGTGGGTTAGGAGGAGTAAGAAATATCTAAGAAATCACTGTAAATATTGTTACTGTCATGTAAATATTTGTGCTGTGTATGGATTAGGTTGCTGTTCGCAAGTGGAATCCAGAGAGCATTGGGTGAGACCATAAAACACATCTGAGTGTAATGTTTTAGTTATCAACTTCAATGAGATTCTAAACTTTTATGAGCTTAGAACTATCTTGAGTTGGCTAATGATATTTGCATTTAACCTATTTAATAAAAATGTTAAAGCAGAAAATGTAAGTGAGGAAAAAAGATGCTCAAGAAACCTCAGTGCAACTTAGGCCAGATTTCTCCAACAGAAAGCATTTGCTGACCACTAGAATGCAGACTTTGGACAAGCAGCTTCAAAATGTCCCACTGCTATAAGACAGGAGGTGGAGATGTCTGCTTGCCCTGTTCTCCAGATCAGCCCCTAAGTTACATAACAGGATTAGTAGCGAATTTTCAAGAGAAGAAAAAATATGCAAGCTCTCTGGAAAACTAGAAGCTCAGAGTGTAACATAGTTGTAAAATAGCTTATTTTAAAAAACAGCTGAAAAGTAGCTCTACGAACTGCCAACTGGATGCTTTGAACAGTTAAGTTCATTTTGTTCCTTTCTATGGTCAACAGTAGGTGTCAAAATTCTGCTTTTAATCTCTGTGATGCTTAAAAGAGTAATGTGGAGGCACGTTCAATACTTTAAATGTAAAAGTTCCTGTTGCTTTTCATTTAAAAAAAATACATATAAAAGCTCTCTGGATTTACTATGGATGGAACTGGAAAGGTAAACTTAGTTGTAAGCTCAGCAAGTAATTTGTTCAGTGTACTTTGTGTCCTATAAAATACGCTGAAATGTCAAGAACAAGCTATTTTTTTGTTATAAACTTAGTAGGAGGGAAAATAAATATTTTGTATATACCTTGTTTAGCACTGGTTGTATGGCCTCGTGTACTATATAAAACCACCTTTGTAGTGTAGCACTAGTTTTGTTCACACATGTATTTACTACTCGGTGTCTTTTCTTGCCATGAGTTTGCCTTGCCCATTAGCCTGCCTGCCATTTCAGTAAAGTGTTCTGCTATCTTTAGAAATTGTAACTGTCACCTCTCTTCTGCACTTCAGCTATGTAATTCTGTGCAAGGGGAAAATGACAGCACAAGACACTGCTCCAGCTTGCTTTTTTTAATGGCATCTTCCATATAAAATATAGGTACACTTAATACTTGTAACAAACACACAAGGTCACCTCAGTGGAGTCAGGGCTTTGATTAGATTAGTTTGTGACAGCTGAAATGAAACCATGCATCACATCTTTAAAGTGCTTCTCAAATTACAAAAAAAGACTTCCCCTAAAAAGGGAGGTTTTGAGTTTCTCTGCCACTGGCTGAGGCTGTTACTTCTTAGAACACAGCCGAGTTAAGCTAATTGCATGCATCAGAAATGTTTGATCTGACCTGCCCTGTAATGGTGCTAATCAAGCTGAGCTGTGCCTGCTCAGGGAGCAGGCACTAATGGGGGTTTCCTTTTGGGAGATTACTTCATGTCAACAACATTAGCATCAACAACTCTAAACTAAAAGCCAAGCTCCCTGCACAGCTACTATTTCAGTGTTGGCAGTAGCAGCTTTTTCTTTTTTCAGTTACTCAGAGGAGCTAAAGGTTGAAACACTTCTTCCACTTCTGGTGCTCCTCTTTGAAAATTTCAGTGGCCGAGTCACAGTGAAGCACTGTTCCCCAGAGTATTAATTCTCATAATACTTTTCCCAGTGTAAGAGTAGTAGATATATATGTCTTACAAGCTGTATAATGTAAAAAAGGAAACTGTTGTACAAAAAAGAACTACAACAAGCTCACAAAACACTTTTATTTCTGTAGAGGTCAGGACAGGAGCCAAAACTTAGCCAGTCAACAGTTACTGTTTTGTAAGTACAAATGCATCTCAAGTCTCCCCAGGTTCTGTTCCAGTCCATGTATGCACAGGATCCCTGGAATTCTGTATCTGGCAGCTCGAACATGCCAAGTGTCACTCTAGTTCAATTACTTCAGTCAACACTTCATGCATGTATCTCTTCAATGTTTACTTAGCATCTTCATGTTGATACACACCACACTTTTACAAAGTGTTTTAGAAAAATGAACCAAGCATCTGAAGAGTGTGCCAAAGGACACCAGCCCAACCTAGGCTGGAGGATTCTTTTCATATGTTTCATAGGCAAATTCTTCTGTATGAGCTCTGTCGTTTAGCAGACCAATAAAATCAATCTCCAGCTGGAATGGACCATCTACTTTATCTCCAATTGTGAATCCAAGGGTACTAACCTAATTAAAAGATACCTACATTAGAACAGTGTAATATTAAAATCAACCACAACCTTATCTACCACTGGGGTGTTTTACAAACAATTCATGGCCAACCTCTTTAAACAGTGGGATTTGAAGTGCAGCATTATTTCTTTAAGGCTTAGACACTTCACTACCACATTTTCAATAGAGTGAGAAATTACTTCCACTGTCTTTCTACCACTGTTGAACCCTGTCTTAAAAATAAACTGAGCCTAAATTAATGCTTCAATTTTTATCCTTCAAGGTTTGCATCGTGCCAGTTTCATCCTGACTGAGTGCTGAGTGTACAAAATCTGTTACAATTCTTTCATTAGCAAGAAACACAAACAGAATGTAATTAAAGATAGACAGGAACTTCCATTCTAAATCTAGTAGTATGTGTGCTATCACATGAAAGTGCACCAAAAGAGACTAGTTCCCTAATTTTCTCCCCCACCACTATTCCAATTTTTTAAAAGTTTTTCATTCTAATAAATTCCATAGACACCCATGTGGCTCAGGCATGTTTCCTGTTAGCCTATGCCTTGCCTGAAAGTGCTCTCAGCTCTCACATGTCACCAGTCCCCTCTCAGAGACTCCAGTGCTAGCAGATCTCACACAATTTGCATCACCAGTGGCACACCACCTACTAACCTAGCTGCCTCAAAGCCCCACCCGAAGTGCAGGTCTGAGCTCTATACCCATGATTTCAAGGACTGCTGTATGTGCAGAAGAATAATGCCTAGTATGTGTCAGGTAAAGCTGAATAATTGTAGGCTGAGGCTAAATGTATATTTCAAATGCATGCTAAATAACAAAGCTGAAGTAACTCAATGCATTGACATTTCTCTCAGATCATTCCAATGTTTCAAACACTGTCCCCCAGAAGCCAACTCTACAATCAGCCCCCTGGCTTGTGGAGCCTGAAGAGGTTTAAAGCTCCCTCTTTCTGGTGTATATTGTTACAGGTGACAATGGGACTCACTAAACTCTGCTCTGATGAATATTCCTTTGCAAGCACTAGATGCATAGTCTATGTCCTGCCTTTTTATTCCTGTTTGACAATGCCATTCCTGGGAAAACATGTAGTAGTACCATGATGGACCAAAACATTGCATCTTTAATTGTCTTCACACCACTTCCCTTATTTTTAGGTTTCTTTAAATTACTTTTGTAAAATTACACTTCACATTACATGCAAGCGCCTCATTCTTACTGCACAATACTAAGCATAAGATAACAAAGAATGAAAACTAAGTGGAGAATACTTAGATCAAGTCCTGTTTTGTCCCTTAAACTCCTGATATTTTTAAACACCTCATATATAACTTTATGTTTTCATTTACTATGTTGGATGACTTATCAGGATTTAGAACATAAATTCTTCAGTATTTGTATTAAACATAGGCTTTTTATAAAACTTTGTTTCATAAAGCATATTTTTTTCTTGTAGTTGATCCAGCTTCTTCATATCATTCGTACTCACTTTCTACAGCCTCAACTTCTGTTTTAAAACAGGTTGGTTTCATGCTGCCAATCACTGAATATCACTGGGAGGATAGAGTGTATCCTCAGCAAGTTTGCTGATGACACAAAGCTGGGAGGATTGGCTGATACACCTGAAGGCTGTGCAGCCATTCAGCAAGATCTAGACAGGCTGGAGAGCTGGGCAAAGAGGAACCTAATCAGATTCAACAAGAATAAGTGTAGAGTCCTGCATCTGGGGAGAAAAAACACCATGCACCAATACAGATTAGGGGTTGGCCTGCTAGAAAGCAGCCCCATGGAGAAGGACCTTGGGGTCCTTGCGGACAAGTTATCCACAGGACAGCAATGTGCCCTTGTGGCCAGGAGAGCCAGTAGTATCTTGGGATATATTAAGAACAGTGTGGCCAGCATGTCAAGGGAGGTTCTCCTCCCCCTCTACTCTGCTCTGGTAAGACCACATCTGGAGTATTGTGTCCAGTTCTGAGCTCTCCAGTTCAAGAGGGACAGGTATATACTGGAAAGAGTCCAACAGAGGGCTACAAGGATGACAGGGACTGGAACATCTGTCATATGAGGAGAAGCTAAGAAACCTGGGGCTGTTTAGTCTGGAGAAGAGATGACAGAGGGACCTTATTAATGTCTCCAAATATCTGAAGGGTGGATGTCAAGAACAGGCCAGTCTCTTTTCATTGGTGCCCTGTGATAGGATGAGGGGAAATGGCACCAAGTTACAGCACAGGAAGCTCCACCTCAACATGAGGAAAAACTTCTTTACTGTGAGGGTGATGGAGCCCTGGAACAGGCTGCCCAGAGAGGTTGTGGAGTCTCCCTCTCTGCAGACTTTCAAGACCTGTCTGGATGTGTTCCTGTGTGATCTGCCCTGGCTGTTCCTGCTGCAGCAGGGGAGTTGGACTCAATGATTTTCAGAGTTCCCCTCCAACTCCTATGATTCCATGATTTGCCCTCAAATTTTTCCTAATTTAGGTCTTTTTGTTTGTTGTTGGAGGTTTTTTTTCATTAAGGCAATTAGAAATGGAATGAAATATTTCAGGTGGCCAACACTGATTCAAGTAAAAGGCCCTTTATTTTCTCCCTTTATAACACTGTTTGCCTTTTGGGGGTCACTGGGTATCACACTGCCCTCAATTACATATAGGACAGTCACTGAAAGTTAAAAGAAAAAAGATATGGGAAGATTTTTTCCAACATGTTTCTTCCTGTGAATTACTCTATCCATTTGCAGAAATAAAAATTACTAATTTACTTAATAGTTACGACTAGAAAGCCTGAACAAAAAGGAGCCTATAGATACACCAGCTAACAGCTCACCATCAAGGTCAGTGATACAGTATATCCTCAAATAAAATCTCATTAAAAGGTATCCCTTAGTCTTCTGTCAGGGAGAAAGTTTATGAAACCTACTTTTATTATTTTTGGCAGTAGTGTACCAACCAGCTCTTTAGATTTTAGTCACTGATCATTCCTAAAAAAAAAAGTTTTGAAAAGCCAAGTAAGCTGTGAGTTGTTTCTGTGTTATCTAGATCTCTTATATTTTGGAGCTACTCTGAAGTAAACTGATACCACTATCACTAAGTGAGATGATTTAAATGCAAAGACAAGCACACAAGAATAAGTACCAAAAAAAAAGAAAAAGAGGCCCTTCAATTTCAAATTCAGAAACTTCAAAGGGTTTGTAAATTACCTACATCATGTCAATAGAGTCTTAAAGGACCTTTCAGACAGGTAAAGCCTACAGAAAACTTGCCTTGTCTAACCAGATGGGATGCTGGCTATCCTGGACTCTTCCCCGACTGGACAGAAAGAACTTGGAGAATGGAATCTGACAGAAACAAAACCAAACCAAACCAGACTTTAGTGTTAGAGTACACAAAAGCTTAAAGAAAACAAAACAAAACACATGCTTTAGTAAATGAAAAAACACTCTGATACATCTGGTACCAGCACTAGCTTCAGTACGTAGAACTGGCACAGAGAAATGATCCACATCCAATCTCATGAACCACTCGCAGGCAGCTCCAGCCCCACGCTGTTCTGTGGTGGCCACGTGTAGCCCTCATGCAGGGGCATTGCGAGAAAAAACACCATGCACCAATACAGATTAGGGGTTGGCCTGCTAGAAAGCAGCCCCATGGAGAAGGACCTTGGGGTCCTTGCGGACAAGTTATCCACAGGACAGCAATGTGCCCTTGTGGCCAGGAGAGCCAGTAGTATCTTGGGATATATTAAGAACAGTGTGGCCAGCATGTCAAGGGAGGTTCTCCTCCCCCTCTACTCTGCTCTGGTAAGACCACATCTGGAGTATTGTGTCCAGTTCTGAGCTCTCCAGTTCAAGAGGGACAGGTATATACTGGAAAGAGTCCAACAGAGGGCTACAAGGATGACAGGGACTGGAACATCTGTCATATGAGGAGAAGCTAAGAAACCTGGGGCTGTTTAGTCTGGAGAAGAGATGACAGAGGGACCTTATTAATGTCTCCAAATATCTGAAGGGTGGATGTCAAGAACAGGCCAGTCTCTTTTCATTGGTGCCCTGTGATAGGATGAGGGGAAATGGCACCAAGTTACAGCACAGGAAGCTCCACCTCAACATGAGGAAAAATTTCTTTACTGTGAGGGTGATGGAGCCCTGGAACAGGCTGCCCAGAGAGGTTGTGGAGTCTCCCTCTCTGCAGACTTTCAAGACCTGTCTGGATGTGTTCCTGTGTGATCTGCCCTGGCTGTTCCTGCTGCAGCAGGGGAGTTGGACTCAATGATTTTCAGAGTTCCCCTCCAACTCCTATGATTCCATGATTTGCCCTCAAATTTTTCCTAATTTAGGTCTTTTTGTTTGTTGTTGGAGGTTTTTTTTCATTAAGGCAATTAGAAATGGAATGAAATATTTCAGGTGGCCAACACTGATTCAAGTAAAAGGCCCTTTATTTTCTCCCTTTATAACACTGTTTGCCTTTTGGGGGTCACTGGGTATCACACTGCCCTCAATTACATATAGGACAGTCACTGAAAGTTAAAAGAAAAAAGATATGGGAAGATTTTTTCCAACATGTTTCTTCCTGTGAATTACTCTATCCATTTGCAGAAATAAAAATTACTAATTTACTTAATAGTTACGACTAGAAAGCCTGAACAAAAAGGAGCCTATAGATACACCAGCTAACAGCTCACCATCAAGGTCAGTGATACAGTATATCCTCAAATAAAATCTCATTAAAAGGTATCCCTTAGTCTTCTGTCAGGGAGAAAGTTTATGAAACCTACTTTTATTATTTTTGGCAGTAGTGTACCAACCAGCTCTTTAGATTTTAGTCACTGATCATTCCTAAAAAAAAAAGTTTTGAAAAGCCAAGTAAGCTGTGAGTTGTTTCTGTGTTATCTAGATCTCTTATATTTTGGAGCTACTCTGAAGTAAACTGATACCACTATCACTAAGTGAGATGATTTAAATGCAAAGACAAGCACACAAGAATAAGTACCAAAAAAAAAGAAAAAGAGGCCCTTCAATTTCAAATTCAGAAACTTCAAAGGGTTTGTAAATTACCTACATCATGTCAATAGAGTCTTAAAGGACCTTTCAGACAGGTAAAGCCTACAGAAAACTTGCCTTGTCTAACCAGATGGGATGCTGGCTATCCTGGACTCTTCCCCGACTGGACAGAAAGAACTTGGAGAATGGAATCTGACAGAAACAAAACCAAACCAAACCAGACTTTAGTGTTAGAGTACACAAAAGCTTAAAGAAAACAAAACAAAACACATGCTTTAGTAAATGAAAAAACACTCTGATACATCTGGTACCAGCACTAGCTTCAGTACGTAGAACTGGCACAGAGAAATGATCCACATCCAATCTCATGAACCACTCGCAGGCAGCTCCAGCCCCACGCTGTTCTGTGGTGGCCACGTGTAGCCCTCATGCAGGGGCATTGCCCTGTTAGGACACACCAAGAGGCTGCAGCACGGAAGGTGGCCGTTTACATGGAGAATACCTCCTTCCAATAACATGTCAACAGAAAATAGAAATCAATGAAAATTCTAGCATGCACATATATTGACAGCTCATCTGTCCCCAGGTTGTGTTTTTCATAGTGCAACCTTCATACTGAGACATCAATATTCTAGCAAAACAGTTCAGAATAATGTAAAAATGACTTTGCGGAGGGAAGAAGAAAGAGGAGGGACTGTGATAAGAGAAAGGACACAGGAGGGTTGGCTGCTAGCAATGATGACTGGACAATGGTATTACAAAGCACTGAGAGCCAGGGCGTGAGGACATGTAAACCTCCTGAACTTTGTCATCAGCAAATTACAAAAGTTCCCCACATTTCATCAGAAAAGAGTCAAAACTCCCACTTCTTACAAAAATTATTTTGTGCCACAGATTCAAAGGCTATAAATGACAAACCATGCCTTGGAGTCTTTAACTGACTCCAGAGAGTCAGCAGGTTAAGTAAACCCTGTCACGGGGTACAAATCCTACACCAACCAATGTCTATTTGTAATAGAAATAAAATGGTTATCATAGAGAATATTCCTGGCAACACCTGCTAAGCTTCAATGGCTGTATCTATCTAATACTTCAGCAACAGCCAACAGCAGACATTAGATAAACATGGTGCAACAAATCTTTAATGCAAAGTGTGCCCTCCCGCAATCCAGTGGTTTACAGTTTTGGGAAGTCCCAAGCCAAAGGCAGGTCTGTATGAGGATACACAGCAGAAACATGGTTGAATGGGCAGCAACAGCAACAAACCAAATGTTGAAAGAATTCCCCTTCCACAAACCTATGGCCAGGACCCTGAGACAGTCTCATTGGTTTGAAAAACTCATTAGTTCACCTTTATTTCCTCCCAATATGGGCCTCCTCGGGTGAACATGAAGTAGTTGTAGAGGTCATCTTTGTGATGAGAGAAGTAAGGGTCTGTATAAATGTTTACCATCCAAGGTCTGCCATCACCACGGACACGTAAATACAGACTGTTGAAGTTGGACCAGTCATAATACTTCTTCCTAGCAAAAGACCCCTACAAATTAATTAAAAAAATAATTATTCCTCCTTAATAAAGGGAAACTTCCATTAGAAAGAACTGAGAAGTACTGCTTTGACCACTGCCCTCATTATTATGCCAAATAATATCTACTGTGACATAGTGAAAACTAGGTTACTCTTTCATCATACTAACTGCTGATCCCACTGAATTTCCTTCAGCATGATATTAGAGCTCACATATTGCAGTATTACCATTCTGAGGACTCATGCTTTAATTAAAAACCACAATCTTATAACTATCAGAAATCAGACCTCCTTCCTAGGACCAAATTCCCTACCAGACAAGTACACAAACTACACAACGATTGATCAGCAGTAAGTTTAATGTAGCACATTAAATGTAATGTTCTGAGATCAGCACTAGATTATTCAGAGGCAATTACAAGAACTGAAGAAGTGAGATACATTATTCCCTTGCCTTTTTGAAGCACGACATAAGCACTGGATACATTGAATGTTTTCCAGCTCTTTTTGTCATTAACTTCACATAATTAAATGGACTGCAAGTGTGTCTAATTCTCAACAGCATTTTTTTTTCCCAAAGATCCCAAAGTCCTGCTATTGGGATCTGCAGACAGGTAAGAGTCTTCAGAGCTACACTGACATCACCTAGAGCAAGGCAGGGGTCAGGGCTACTCTTGGCCAGAATTGCTTCAACCAAGTAAAAATTGTCACCCAAAGTTCAGAGGTTTCCCCTTTATCTTACAGCACTACTAGAATTAGCTATCAACTGTATTTGTTGATACCCATCTGATGGGCAATAGGATGCAGAGATCACCAATATATTATTACAAGGCCTGCAGCTACTTGATTTCACGGCTTTGCCAGTTTTGAGCCTTTTTACTTACACAAGGAAGAGCCTTTGGATTTATGGTTTCACCCTCTGATTTAAAACTGCATTATACACTCCGCTACTTCAGAATTAGGAGGTGAAAGTCTGGGTCACTTGCATGAGTCAGTAGCAGGCCTGGGAATTTTAACTCAGGTGAGATTCAAACTGCTGTTCCATTCCCCTGGCTCACTGTCACCATTCTAATCAGTGTTCATCTGCCTCTCATTGGCCTGCTGACTTTGCTTGCTCATATTCTCTGCTCTCCAAGTTTCTGACCCAGAAAAGATTTTACCTGTGTACTTGTGCCAAGTTACAATCAACAGAATGGACTAAGGAGTTAAGCATTTTATACACCGAGTCAAAACGTTCCTGTCCTGTTGTAGAAAAGTAAACATGTTATTCCTTTTCTAAGAAAGGAGAACAAAATCCAATAAGTCTAATTTCCTTTCAGGTCTAAGGATACAGTGGCAATTACACCTCTGAAGGACAACGGTGAACAACGGTTCACTTGTTGTTACCAGGATTACCCAAAAATGCTCTCCAATTAAATAACTGAAGCTATGCAAACACAGATCTGTACTTACCCTGAGTGGTTTGGATCTCATACTACAATATCCACTGTATTTGGTTTCCCCGTCACGAGGTACTTCCGTATTGAGGGTTCCATATAGCAGGGCAGCCTGGTCATTCCTACCCAATTTGAGGTAAACTTCACTTTTTCCCCCAATCTCTACATCAGAGGAAATAACCCATTTATTTAAATCTTCTTGGCTCCGGAACTCCCACAACACCCTTGTCTGTTCCAACAGGTAACGACTGAGTGGATGGCCCCCAGGTCCTACTAAGTAATCTTCAGTCTCCTTCTTCAGCATGCTTAGCTGAGTCTTTAGGACATCAATGCTCTTCTTAAAACTTAAATCAACATTTTGCCAAAACTTTTTTTTCTCAGGCTGTGTCCCTGGCCTTCTGTAGCTGCTATACAATTTTGACATGGAGTTGTTGAGGAGAGGTCCAAGTGAGGGGTGCAAAACCTTGTGCCTGCAGCATCTGCCATGTAAATAAGCACTGTTCAGCAAGGCAGTCATTAAAGCCATGTTGGTAAATGTGGAGAATTCACTTCCAGTGAGGCGATTCAAAAGGTTTGCAATCAATTTAACAACAAAGATAGTAAAGAGCCTTTTGTTAATGTCCACCTTTAATGAAAAAGAGAAAAGATAAATAAATAAATAAATAATGTTTGTAGAACTGTTTCACCTTTAAACCAGATATTAACTAGAAATCTAAGCCACTGGAAAAAGGAATAAAAAATATGTTCACAGCAGGCAGATCGTGCTGCTCTATGGACCAGAATGACAGATATGGTGCTTCTTCCATAAGTCATCCAGTCCCTTGACCCCTCAATATATCTGTATTTAGGATTCCAGGGAGTTTGCAAAGACCAAATCATTTCACATGAAAGGCTGGATTCAATAGGCTATTTTATAAAGCTCTGAAAAAAAATCTGAAAATCTCTTTGCTTCTCTCTGCACCAGTGCTGGTAAGAAGAGTTAGCTATGTTATTATTCTCTAACTCATAAGAGAGAGCTGTAACCTTCAATGCTCTGTACAGAGGCTATTATCTCTGACTCATAAGATTAGCCAGAGTAGTTGCCTAGTTTTGGGGTTTTGGTTTTGTGTTGGTTGGGGTTTTTTGGCAGCAGAATAAATCCTAAAACTATTTCAAATCAGTTCATCTTCTCTGGGCTTTTAAGAAGGAAGTCAGTCAAAATGGGTTACAGAATGGGCATACTGGACCATTTAGCTTGTTCAATCCCCCTAAGAATTTTTAAATTAAAAACCAGTCTTCCCTCTGCCCCTTTCACTCACAAAACCTTCTGACCTTGGAAGCCCCACATAATTCTCTGCTGCAAGCTACCGTTTGACACTAGTGGGATGATCCTTTCTTTCTCCATGTTTTAAATGCCTTCTTTCTCCTGCAGGATGAGATGACATGCAGAGAAGCTTGCTTTACACAACGTGACACCTTACAGGGAAACTAGTCTGGATCTTTAAACAGCTGTATTGACAGAACTTGCAACCCATCTTAGCGTGCTCTGTTACCCAAACACAACGCATCTGAGGAAGCAGTAAAGTCACGTATCAGCAGACAGGGCCAAAGCACTTGTGGTGAGCCACAAGCCGCCCTGCACTCACGGTAGGATTCAGCCCTATCACACCCACACACCTCACGGTTAAGCCGCGCACCGCGAACTTGCAGCCGCTGCAGTAATTCCCGCGTTCCCCGTCACGCACCCGCCGCCAGACGGGACGGAACCTCCCAGAAGGGAAACCCGACCCGCAGGCAGAGCGACCAGACCTGCCCAGCGACCCGGGACGCTTCTGGGCCCCGCGACAGAACCGCCCCGGCCCAAACCACAGCCGCGTGAAAAGCCCAGAGCAGCTGCGGTCCGGGGG